ATGGGGAACGACGATTCAAGTGGAAGAATTTGATGTTTGTGTGTGCCTTTCGGTTGGCTCAAAAGAATGCTTAACATTTAACACATTCGAAATGGTATCAAATATGTGGATATATGTAAAGTAAATATCGAGTGTATTCTAGGCTACTAAAAATACAGAAATAAATACAAAATTCCCTGGAAATCTTGCTTTAAATATTCGATTCGAATTTAGCACAAAAAAAATAACAAGTCAAAGAAAACACACAGAAATTCTTTCGATTTAGAGTTTGGTTTTTTTACATTAACACAATCCATGATATATATTATAAGTCCTGCATCTAAGCTTAATTTTTCTTAGATCCTTTATAGAGCATACCATTTCCTACTTCTATCTGTAAAGAGCGCATCCTCTTCATTCTTATTGACCAACAAATAACTATGCTATAAGAAGAATGGCATTGTCTGGCCATCGTATGGTTAGAGCCACCTGCAGAGAGGCTTCCCCACAAGCCCTGCCACATCCCGCCCCGCTCTTATTCACCAAGCATTCTCTCACATGCGCGAATTGCTGTCTTTCTCTCTCACTGTGAGAGAGTAAAATCAGACGCTCTTCGCCACTGCAGTTCACCAGCAAACCAGACGAGACCGGGTAGGAATTTCCACTTCTGCTGCTGCTGCTGCTGCTGCTGTTACTGTGCAATGTCGGGGCAACATTTCTGTTGCCTGCGGCTCCGTTCTGTAGAGAATTCTCTGTAGTAAAACGACGTGCCGTTGCATTAAAATCATCGCTGTGGCAGGCAACAGCAAGCAGCCAGCAGCATCAACATCAGTCGCTTCCGTTGACTGCCACAGAGGAGACCGAACGACCACCCGCCACAACATACAACAAAGTGTTCGCTAAAATAGTCTTTTGATAGCCACTTATTTTGTCGTAGTTTTTTCCATCGTTAGTGTGTAATAATTGGACAACCTCTTGGCTGAAGTGTGCAAGTGTGACTCTGCATGACAGATAATGTAATTAATGTACAACGGATATTTTATACCGGAAGCCAATCTACTTTAAATACAACTTTTATGCCAAAGTGCAATAACATTAAAAGTCTGACTCCACTCCCTCGATCCATGCTCAATAAATTGTATATGAGTTCGGAGGAATTTACATTTCTGCCGCGGTGAGTAGAAAATGACGGAAAATGGTTGCCTGTTTGCTGTTGGCTTTTCGTTCCCTTCTTGACTGCTTGCTGCTTGTTTTGTTATTTTCGTTGTCAACGCAAATTTTGATGTGACAGGATGGTAATGGGGAATGCAAATGGCAGCGTGAATATCCCATTAGGATATTTTGATAAATCGAGAAAAAGTTTCCACATCGGAAATTGGGAAAATGGTTAGAAATCTTTGAAGTTTCTTGAGGTACACAAATGTACCCTAATTTGGGAGTAATATTAGGAGTAACAACTTTGACTTAAATGTCAAAAATATGTGACATTCATTTGTTGAACTTATTGAGACGCGTACTTCGAGAATTATTGTAAATAATTAAAACAATTTTCAATTGTGCTTTCTTTTAAAAGTCAATAAAAAAAACTGGTATCTAAATTTGATCAAATTATCTCAAAATGTTTGTTATCAAATACTATTAGAAACATCGAAGAACAACGAAGATTTTCAGCTACAAGCAGCAGTTGCTTTTAGCTGTCAGAATATTCAGGATGGAGGACGGAAGGTGTACGGGTCCGTTGCGCAGTATAACATTGGAATGCTATGCCAGGTTGAGTACGCTTGTTGATCGTTTGTATCGTACTAAATCTAGAGAGGATCTGTTGGAAAATTTACAAAAAGCTTGAGAATAGTTACAAGAAGACTGTCCGCCTTGCTCTAATTGCGCTGACATACACGTATCCCATTATCCTCAAGGTACCATTGCTTCATAGTAGGAGGGTGCTGAATAGACCCCACTGTAGGGGGGACAAGTGGCATATCACTACACTATGCGGCTTGCATCACAAACTACCCATCAGGCTGCAGTTAACCGATAAGTTTTGACAATCTATTTTGCATGATTCCTCCACTGGTACATGTCATCTCCTTTGCAATTTTGTGCGAAAACTTTTGTCATCACGCCACACTCTCGTAAACACACACACGCACACAGACTTGCATATTCATGAGGGAATATGATTATTCCACTACGCTTCCGCCACGCTCTCACTTCCACTCAGCCGTAGACGTGCTTCCTTTACCGTTCACTCGCACTCTTTTTTCTGCCGCTCGCTTGTAGTCTTTTGCCTCAACCTCTCATGCTAGCTGTCTTGCAGTCTTCTTAACCCTTTGCCACTTAATAGCATTCTTCTTGCCTCTTCTCCACTCAATATCATTTGTCTTCCCTCTCTTCCACTCAATCGCATTCATCACTCGCAATCTTCCTGCCTCTCCCACCACTCTCTTTAGTCTTCAGTGCAGAAGTCTTCTCTCTTCCACTTGCAATCTTCTGCCACCATCTCCAATACACACACACACACACGCTCTTCATTTCTTCTGCCTTCTCTCCCACTCGCACGCAGTCTCGGCTTTCTCGTTCCCATTCCACTTAATCAATAGCATTTTTCCACACACACTCCCTCCCCCTCACGTGCCATTCCTTTCATTCACAGTTACGACTCGAATGTTCTTGCATTGACTTGCTCGTTTTCTTCGTCGGTCACCTTCCCGCTTATCGCGCATTGAACTTTACTATGACCTGAAGGCGGCAACGGCAACGCCAGTGGCACCGGCACCGGCACCGGCACCTCTTCCTTTACGCACTCACACCACCGCTTATATGCATACATATCTGTACATGCTTAAATTTGCATTGCATGCTTTGCATTCATTCTCTTTTGTTGGTTCTTTGACCCACCGCCGCCCTTTTTGCCACCTCCACTCTTCGTTCAGGTAGCGCGTTTATTCCCCCTTTGCTCTTTATTTATCTAGCCAGAGCTTTCAGGTGTTATTTTTTTTTTGGTTATTCTCTATCTCACTCGAACTATGACTCCTTCACCTATCTCTCTCTCCCGCTGGTTAATTTAAATCACCTCTTAAGGTTTGATTGATACCCTATAATTGTGTTAGACAAAGGTATATTGAGCGTTAACTTCATTCCACTACGCTAATCGAGAATAATTTAGGGGAAGCATCTTCTGAAAGTATTTTAATAATACATTTAAATATTGTTTACCAATTGAAATGTTAGCGATAGGGAAATTATATTTGACGAAAAAAAAACTCTCCCTCTAAAAAAAATACAAATTTTCTACCACAGAGAAAACTGATTAGCGGGTATCTCCCTCTGCGTAATGTACAACTGTAGTACGAATATTTCCATTTACTTTGTGGGTGCGTTTCTTCTGTATGTCTCTTCTGTTCAAGTTTTCCGCTTCTATTTTATTGAAGTTTAAATGCAAATTCCAGCGCAGCGTTGCCTACTTTTTGAAGCTGCAGCTAGTTTGTTGGAAAAGGATAGAGGAGGGTGGCAAGAAGGGGAGCCCTAACAAATGGCTTTCTAAAATTCAGACCAATCAAGCGCTAGAAATTTTGGACTTTTATGGGTTTTCTTTCTCTCTAATTGTTATGCAAACTGCTGTTGACTTGAAGTGTTGCCGCCTCGCTCACTCACTCGCAAGCTGAACCTCTACCTCTCTTTTTGCTGCTGCCATCATCACCGCAATGCTCCAATTTTGCGGCTCAGGCCGCGACCGCTTTGCCAAGTTATGGCAGCAATTAAAACTTTTGTGCTGAACACTTGAAAAAATGCCAAATAACGCTTGCATGGCCCATACCACCCCGATATTCTCTTCTACACATTACCTTTTGTCTGGCGTGTTCTTTAGAAAAAATGCAAATATATAAAAAATGTTTTGTGGTAATAACCATCTTTTGTTTACATAAATATGCCTGGTCTCTCTACTCTATTCCCGTACTCTATTCACACGCAATTGTCGCATTTTCTTTATTAATGATAAATTGTAAAAGCAAAAGTAAAACCCAACAGATCGATCGTTTTTATGGGAGCTCTATTATTTAACCTTCATATTATTTGTTAATATTATTGGTTATATATTCAGTCAAAAAAATCAGTCAATCTGCAAATTTGCAAAGAATTTTTCCAATTCCTGATTCTCAAAAGGTAAAACTAGAACTGATTCCTTTGCTCCATTTCAAGTCTATTGGGGCAGGCCGTATTCATAATAGCCGCTAAAAAAAAATACAGGGAAAAGGAAAAGAGAAGAGCCCCACGAATATTTATAATATCCCGATGCATTTTAATGGGACACAAAAAAAGCGAGCAAAGGAAACAGAAACCTCAAAAGCAAATAAATAACCAGCGGTGGGGCGACAACACTGCAAGAGCCAAGAGGCAGGCAACGACGGGCACGTAAAGCACTTATGCCGTGTAATCCCGGCGACAATTCAATGGGGAAAAAAGTACAGTAAACACTCTCGCTCTGGCACAACTCCAAATATGTTGGGACGGGGAGAGGGACAGGCAGGGTATTTCTTTGGCTTTTGGTATTCTTTGGCGCCCGCATTAGTGTCGCCCTATTGGCGGCCATTGTGATGCCATAATTTCTTGCCCCATTTGAGTGCCGGGCTCAGGTTGTTGCACTTCCCCAGCAGCACAGTGGTACAGTGGAACGAAAGTAACTAGAAAACTCAAAAGGGAAGCTTTCCAAAAGTAATTCACAACTTTAAACCACTCTAGTGCCACAGTGCCTACTAAAAGACGTCGCCCGCTTGCAAGCGGATTACTTCCTGTTGCTTTTCGCTGTGCCATTTTCCTTCTATTTTGTATATTTCTTTCTTAAAAGAAAAGAAAGAAAGACCCCGCGGCATTTAGACGACATGAAATTAAAAATTCAAATTACATATAGACCCAAGAGGGAAGCAGACACTCAGCCGCTGAGACTGATGATTCCTTTACTGTGCGTAGCCTCAAGGATTGACCATAGATTGAAACTGTTTCCAATTTCCATTTACTTGCAGCATTGCCGAAGAGAAAAAGAAACTGGGAAACGATCAATACAAGGCACAAAATTATCAGAATGCGCTCAAACTCTACACGGATGCCATCTCGTTGTGCCCCGACTCGGCCGCATATTACGGCAACCGGGCTGCCTGCTACATGATGCTCCTCAACTACAATAGCGCCCTCACGGATGCCCGCAACGCCATACGCATCGATCCAAGCTTCGAGAAGGCGTACGTACGTGTGGCCAAGTGCTGCCTGGCGCTGGGCGACATCATTGGCACGGAGCAGGCCGTGAAGACTGTGGCGGAGCTGAATGCCCAGAGTACGGCTGTCAGTGGAGAACAGGCGGCGGCACAGACGCTCCGCCAATTGGAGACGACCATACAGACCAACTACGACTCAAAGGCATATCGCAATGTGGTCTACTACCTGGACAGTGCCCTGAAGCTGGCTCCCGCTTCCATTCGGTAAAGTATTTCGAGTTACGCCGCAGAGATCCTTGTGGAAGACTCATTTTTGAACATTTTATCTTGCAGATATCGTCTGCTGAAGGCCGAATGCCTGGCCTATCTGGGACGCTGCGATGAGGCCTTGGACATTGCCGTGGGCGTGATGAAGCTGGACAGCAACTCGGCGGACGCCATTTATGTGCGCGGTCTGTGCCTCTACTACACGGACAATCTCGATAAGGGTATCCTGCACTTTGAGCGCGCACTGACCCTCGATCCCGACCACTACAAGTCGAAGCAGATGCGCAGCAAGTGCAAACAGCTGAAGGAGATGAAGGAGAACGGCAACATGCTGTTCAAGTCGGGGCGGTATCGTGAGGCGCATGTGATTTACACGGATGCTCTGAAGATCGATGAGCACAACAAGGACATCAATTCGAAGCTGCTCTACAATCGGGCACTGGTCAACACTCGCATTAGTGCTCTCCGGGAAGCAGTGACCGACTGCAGTCGCGTCCTCGAGCTGAACTCGCAGTATCTGAAGGCCTTGCTGCTTCGTGCCCGCTGCCACAATGACCTGGAGAAGTACGAGGAGGCAGTGGCCGACTATGAGACGGCCCTCAACCTGGAGAAGACCACCGAGATTAAACGTTTGCTGCGCGAGGCCAAGTTTGCCCTGAAGAAATCAAAGCGAAAGGACTACTATAAGATATTGGGTATTGGGCGGAATCCAACCAAAGATGAGATTAAGAAGGCGTACCGCAAGAAGGCTCTGGTGCACCATCCGGACAGGCATGCCAACAGCAGTGCCGAGGAGCGCAAGGAGGAGGAGCTGAAGTTCAAGGAGGTAGGCGAGGCCTATGCCATACTGTCGGATCCGCGCAAGAAGGCGAGATACGACAGCGGACAGGATATCGAGGAGCAAGAGCAAGGTATGTCTCACATCTTTGGGCATATTTTGGTCATAAATAAATTAATGTATTTTTATTTTTCGCTTGCAGCCGAATTTGATCCGAATCAAATGTTCCGTACGTTCTTTCAATATCCAAACGAACCCAATGCCTCCTTCTCCTTTGAATTTTAAAACGAACATCAAAAGAGAACAGCGAGGACCACTCACATTCTGCCTCCACGATGGCCAGCGCAGCGACATACAACAACAACAACAACAGATTAATCCACACACAGCCAACGCACAAATGGGAATCATAATTTTGATTTTTTTTGCATCCATTGTGGCCGCCGCATCCATAGAGAATACAACAAAATATATTGTGCATGTTGAAGAATTGAATTTTTTATGTGAAATCAGAATAGCAAAACGGCGAAAGGCAAATTTCTAATGTTATATTCCTTACCCCTGCCACCACATTGTAAAAGTTAATTTTAATCTCCTCCTACTCCTACCACCCACCCGGGGCGGCATTCAAACAGTTGTCCAAAATTTTCAAATATATGTAAAAATATTTTAAAACAAAATGAGAGGCTGCTCGATGAATGTGTGTCATTTAAGTAAAGTCGTACAACTTTTTCCTGCGGCCCAACAAGTCATGTGTGATTGATTAATTAATGGTTAAACAATGCGTAGGTCTACCGTGTAACCAATCTTTATTTTGTAATCTTTAAGCCAGACACTTAAGTTGTATTTTTAAGTTACAAAAACAAAACAATGTTAAAACACAAATAAGCACACTTTGTAATGATTTGAGTTTATAGTAATTATTTTGATGTAATTACAAATTGAGAAAATTAAGTAAAAATCGTAATCAACCGAACATTTACAGTCGCTCGGGTTATTGGGTGTTTGTCTCGGAAATATTCAAAAATATGTAAGGGTTACATGAATTTTATTAGCTGGGTTCCTACAGTATTTGTATTGTTTTTACTCACTCCAGGGAGTAATTAGAATGGCGCTCTTCTCAAACTAAATTTTTTTTAAATGTGGCGCCATTAGTCAAAGGCCTAGTCTGCTGCAGCCCTAGTCTGCTGTTACTATCGATATGTCACCACATACATTGTACATCGATTATTTTGAAGCGACGTATGTAAGACAGCAAATATTCTAATATAGAGAGATAGTAAACCATTTCCACCTTAACTGTTTGGCTTGCAAAGTAGTAAAAAATTTCTATTATCGAACTGACACTTTTACAACCATCGTTTTTGCCTTAGACGATTGACAACCCTAGAGTAAAGCGGTTTTTAGTCAAATCATCAACAAGAAGCAAGTTGCGTATTCTACGTAATACGGAAATAAATCAATGTATATTTGAGAAGCGAAGCTAAATTTCGGTATATTTTTGAGGGTCATGCGGTATCGATAAGTCCGCGGTCACACTGGTGAGAATTTAAAAGCTGAGAAGTGCGCGCAATGACAAAAAAAAGGAAAATTTCAGCTATGAAAATAGCGATTTACGACAAAGGGCAGAATGACAGTATTGGATAGCAACAGCATGGGACAACACGGACAAAATGGGTTTTTTGCCATCGATGTTCTAATTTTATTTTTATATTCAAATGAAACTTATAGAAGAGGAAAAAGAGCGAAGCGAATCGACTACGGCACAGGACGGTCCAGTTGATAATTCTGTTCCTCCGTAGTTTGTGGCAAAGAATGAAATTTACATATGTAGGTGTCGTATTTAGTTCGTTCCCATTCTAATGCCTGATTTTCATTCCACACAAACTTGAATTTGATCAATTTTAATTCCAATAATTACCTTAAAAAACCAGCAAATGAAACAAAACCATTTCGCTTTTACAATGCTTGTCAGACAAATAGGTACACACATTTATTTTACGGTTTTCTTTTTTAATCGTTTTAGCTGTTCTTTTATACATTCACAAAAAACGCATTATTTTGGTTTACCTTCCATGCTCATTCCACACACACGCAGAAACACACACAACGCACCACCCATCGATGGATGCCAAACAAATTCTTGCTAATTTTACAGACAATTAATTTATATATTGTATAATTTTCCATATATTGGTTTTTTTTTTACATTTGACTTTTTGTTTAACGGTTTGGACTTTTTGTTGTTGATTTTTTTCACTAGACTAGTGTAAAAACTACGGCTAAAAAAACGCAGCAACAGCAAAAGCCGGAGCTGCATTTCATCATAATCATCATCGTCCACATCTCTTTCTCTCATTTAGGTGACTAACTAATTTGCCCCTATTTTTTTTAGATTTACATTTATATATCTATATTTTATATAAATTAATTCAATATTTCGTTTCTCTCTTGTTGTTTTTTCTGCTCGCTTTGCTTTGCATACAAAAATAAAATAAAATACTTAAATACTATGCAAAAATCATTACGAGCTACACAAAAAAGTTTACCATAATTATGCACACAAAAGGAGATAAAACATAAACAGAAAAATAAAACGGACAAACAATTAAAACTATTTTACTTTAGTTTCCATTTGTGTTTATTATTATTATTAATTTTTTGTATGACTTCTTTTTTCTGTTGGTTGGTTTCAGTTTTTTGTTGTTATTGGGTTTTGGATTGCTGTGTTCTCGACGACCAGACTTATGTGACTAACAAAACATTTCTGTTTCAAAATAAGGTACAATGATATATAATATATTATTATTATATACTTTCCATTTACATATACATATATCCATAGACAGATATATGGAAAATATATGGTGTATAGTTTATGTTTTACAAGTGCCTTTCTGCATCAATCAGCTCTTTCGGAACATTAGTTAGTTTTATTGTTTATTTTCTTTTGTTAGTAATTCCCTTCCTTGTCTTTAGCATAGACTTTTATATTTATATTTCTTAGAGCGAGGTGTACATATGCTTTGGGCGCCTAGAAGTGGACGAAAGCCGTACCCAAATATCTAACTAAAAACATGGCAAAATGCTTTACAGGATCATCTGTACCGCCATCCGTCGGCTGCAGCGGTCTATGGTCTATGGTCTATGTAAAATTGTATTTTATATTTAATACTGAGATTCTGTCTCAGGTATGTTCTCACGCCTATCGTTTCCCCGACCCACTCTAACCCTATTATATGATCTATGTATGTATATTATTTGTGTAATTTTTGGGGTCCCCAAAAACAGAACAGAATAGAAAGTAACTTTGGTTTGTGTTTTATTTGCTTATTGTTTTATTTCGCTTCTTTAAACGGGGGATGGATGCCCAAGGTTCAGCTCTCCTAAGTACAAGTACCTTGCCACTAACCTCTCTATATGTATATCTTTCCCCTAAGTAACGCTGCCCCTGCTCCTCCATCTTAATGCTTTGTACAAGTGGTGTGTGGTGGTGGTGACCCCTGGCAAAAAAAAACTAAAAATAAATTGTACTGTTTTTTTGTTGTATTTTGTTTGTTGGTTTCGCTTTGACTATTTTCTTTATAAATGGAATTTCGTTGCATTTATTTGCCATGCTCCGAGCGCAAACGTCCCCGCCCCACTGTGCCGTAGCTCAGGCCCAGACCAAGACCCAGACCCAGACCCATTGTAGGTGTCCCGCCCGTCGTCCCAGTCGTTGTTGTATTGGTCGTCCCAGTCGTCCACTTCTTGAGGCGCCACTGTCACTTGGGCAGGATGCGTGCCGTACGCTCCAGCTCGTTGAACTGTCCGTAGTAGAGAACCTCGCTGATCAGCTTCTCGGCAATGATACGCTGCGTGCGATCCATTGTCCGCAGCTTCATCGACACATTGGAGCCCACAAAATCGCAGTCGTCGCGACTCAGGCTTTCCGCATAGAAGGCGGTGGCTGCCGCCGCTGCTGCAGCAGCTGAGCTGGCATCCTGGGCCGAAACGCTGCTCTTCACGCGGCCGGGACTGGCGGCCGATTCGGTGGCCTCATCATTGTCCACCTCCTCGCCGTCGGACATGCTCTCCCTTGAGCTGAGCAGGGAGTTCATCAGCATATGGCCGGCGGCACTGGAGGCAGCTGTCAGCTTCCTCATATTCAGGGGCATGGCTGTGGCGGAGGTGGTGGCGCCACTGCGTGGCGGCAGCACAAATGATCCAAAGTTGGCCTTGGCCTGTGCCGCCACTCGCAGATCCTGCGCCATGTCCAGCGGCAGGCGGCTCTCCTCCCCCGCCGAACTGTAGGAACGATGCGATTCGAGGGCTGGTGGGGCGACGGCTCCTGTCACGGCACCACCCACGGGCGGGCCATGAAAGTAGTCCACCAGCTCCTGCTTGATGTCCAGCTCATCCGAATGTTGGCCATGATGCGGATGGTGTGGATGGGACTGCAGGGGCGCCTGCTGCTGCTGCTGCTGTTGCTGTTGCTGTTGTTGCTGTTGCTGCTGCAGGTGATGCGGATGTACGTGCGGATGGAGGAGCTGCTCGTGTGCCTGGCGGGGCGTGGAGGCTCTTAACGCCGCCGGGCTGGATAGCAGATGATTCTTGTGCGCCTCGTGCATATTGGTGTTGGGAATGGGACTCGATCCCGCTTCACTCAACGGTCCTCGCTCTGCGGGATCGCTACCAGGATCGTTGGCATCACGACTGCTGCTTCCTCCTCCGCCGGGGCCACCGCCTGGTCCTCCACTTGTCGCGGAATGGGGTGAGCGTCGTTCCACTTTGGCTGCCAGTTGTCCCAGTGCTGCCGCCGCTGCTGCATCCTCCTTATTGTTGTTGTCCTCGTTATCCGAGGTGTCCATGGTTTTGTGGGGACTAGGCTGGAATTCGCTGCTGCTGCTACCCGGCCCACCGCCGGCATAGGGGGTGCCTGCATTTCCGTACGCCATGGGTAGGGGCACTCGAAGTTGCTGTTGCTGTTGCTGCTGCTGGGATACCGATCCCACTCCTCCTCCGGCACTGCCACCGCGATCGCTGCCTGCGGACCCGGATATCGGGGGCGAGTACTGCCCCGCCGTATTCCAGCTGTCCAGCGTCTGGCTGCTCGCTATCAGCATGGGTATGTTGAGGCCCATCTGCAAGAGAGAAATATAAACATTCAGATAAGAGCTTTTCAATCGCGTGTCCAAAGGTTCGTCTCCGCCATCGTCATCGTGACGCCGACCAAAAAGGTTTATCCAAACGCGATAAGAGCCCTAGACCGAGACCTACTTAAGAATCAAAGACCCCATCAAAAAGATTTACTCAATAAGAATGAGTTCAAACCTGAATTATAAAAAAAAAAAAAACGAAGACTAGAATTTTATAGAGAATCTAAAGATCCATCCATATAAAGTGGAGCTGCCACAGTTTTAGGAATTACAAGAAAGAAATAAAGGAATAGAATTGGAATCGCCCATCGGTGCCAACGATCCCCCGCATTACAAGTACTAATAATTCTCTTCTCTTTTACAATATTTGCTTGACAAATGTGGAGGTATCAAGTGTTTTTTATTAGATGGATCCTTTGTTCTAGTCACCATTAAGAATCTTCTCTCTCGTTATTTTAAGTATTATATATGACTAATGTTTTATCTTCATTGTTTATCTTTCGTCGCAAAGAGAAGTCTGGTAACCAGGTTGATGATAAGTACCTGCACTCGAAAGTGTGTCGAAGGTTGAATCTAATAAATTCTTGAGATAGCAAGAAGCACAAGATCCTCAAATCTACTATAACGATGACGGCATGTGAATGGGAAATTATTGAGTCACTATTGGCTATTGACTTTAAAGTTAAAATTAAAAAATCTGAATTTTACTGAGGAATTGCAGTTTTTGAATAATTTTTTTGTTTTCAGTTTAAAAATCCCTAGTTCTATGAATATGTACAATCTTCATTTAATTACATTCCCGCATGAATTATAATTTTAATTCAATTTTTGCATAATAATCTTTAAAGTTGGAAACCCCAAAAAACAAAACAAAAACAGCGAATTGTTTATACCCGAATCAGTTATAATTATTTGGAAGTGTTCGGTTTTGGGAATAACATTCGAGTGTCAAAAACCTCTCTCAATCTTGCTGTGTTTGTACTCTGATCAAAGAATGCATAACATAAATTAAATGATGGATATCGAAGAGTTATATACCCTTTTCAATAGATTGTTGGTTTCTCATAAAAATAACAGACGCAAAATCTGAATCGATTGTGTTGTAGGCTCTACTTTCTACGACAGCCTCCTATTTCAAAGTTTAGACTGAAGAAATTGCAGAAATTTCACTCGTATATAAGCGTCATTCTCTTTTTTTAAGTGATCATAAATTCTCTTCTTTCTGCAAAAGGGTATACAATCAGAGCATGCGAGAGAGAAATGCACACAAACAAAAGTATGATAAAAAGTTATGATAATGGAAAATAAATAATAATTTGACTACATTTGGAATCGTGTTTTGGATGGGTTGTTTTTGTTGGTCGCGTAAAAATGACAAACACACGAAGCGATCAAAACAAATTAGCAGACACACGCAGCCGCACACGCACACACACACAGAGAGGTAAAAGAGGGTGTAACGAGGAGACAAAAGAGAGCGCAAGGTGCCAAAGTGCACGAACCTTCCAAGCCGAACTGTACAGCTCTTCACCCCCTCCCTGAATCGCTTACGTTTGCTGATGCTCCTTCGATGGGTATTCTGGACAGACTGTTGATATTCGTATTGTTTCCCTGATAATGCATCTTCTTTTATCTGAGATTGCTGATTTTTAATAAATGGAACGTTTTTGAATGTTTACACTTGTTTATTGTGTTGTATTTTTTGGTTGTTGCTGTCGCCGCCGCAACGAGAACACGACTCGAACTCGTAATATTTTTTGGTCCGAAATTATTCTAGCGGCGTAGTAAAAATTTCAAAAAGCACAGCACGCGAGAGAGAGAGAGAGTTACGATTTAAAGAGCGTTCAACTCAACTCTTAAGAGAGTGGCAAATTCTGCTACACTTGCCTGTGCTTGAGTGTGGGCAAGAGGGAGAGACACTTAACGGTTTCTTTGATCTGATAAAATAAGAGATTGTTGTTGCTGTTCTCTTGCGAGGGCGACTTTTGCCAATGTCAGCGTTTAATTTTTAGAAGCATTCGTTAATGTCAGCATTAACATTCGAGCTAATCATCATTAGTTTTAAAAAAAAAAAACCATAAGGATCATTAGTTTGCAAAAACCATAAGAGAAAATCATCATTAGTTTGCAAAAAGCCAAAGAGAGAGATTACATATCAGGTCGCAAAGAGCGTTGTGAATAGTTGCAAGAGCACGTGATGGTCTTGGGAGAACGAACGTCCATGCCGAGAGCGTAGGGTATCAGAATCGAAAGAGCTTTCATTAATGACATTAGCATTAACCTACCCCACGTTTGGGACCGCCGCACAAAACAAAAACGCCGAGAATCACAACTACAAAAACAGATTTCATGTGGTCAACGATCATCACGCAGCGCTCGCTCTCTCTCTCTCTCTCTCTCTCTCTCTTACCCTACGACTATCGCTGTCTCTGTCTGTCTGGCTGCGTGCGATTTCTTTGATTTTGTCATTGCTGTTTGTTGTTGTGGTGTGGTTCTCCTTCTTTTTCTCCACCTCCTTTTTCATTTGTCATCGCCTAGAACTTTCCATGAAAGGCATGATCAAAAGCTCTTAAAGAGAATTGTGAATGCTCTTTTACATGGAGTTCTTAAATATAATGCAAAATCAAAATTTAAAAAATTAATTGAAATATTAGCTCCAATAACAATGTTTAATGTGTAAATGGGTAAATTAAGTTCGCTCCAAATTCTGCTATTACCCTCAAAAATTATTATCAAAACTTTTTTAATATTTCGAAATTTGTTTAATTGTAATTTCCCTCTTTAACACACACGCAAAGCAAAACTCATTCATAATTTTGTTTGTTAGGGCATCATAAATAACAGTTGAACATTTTCGTGTTGTTTTTCTCATCGTTGCTGTTTTTAGGTCCCCAACCAAACCTACTCTTCTCTTCCCCCTACAATCAACCATCGTCCATCTCGCTTCCTCTACCACTATCTCTCACCTCTCCTCCCTCACACAATTGTAGTTATTATTGTTGCAGCTGCTTTTGTTGTTTACGCATTCAGAGCAGAGCTGTGCTCGACTCGCGTCTGTGTGCGTGTTTGCATGTCTGTATTATTATTTTGTTAAGGCAAATAAAATAAAAACAGACAAGAGAATGAGCTCGCTCTCACTCGCTCTTGCTATTACTCCCTCTCTCCCTCTTTCGCTCTATCCTGCCGTCTATGTGTGTGTTTGTGTGCAACTGAAAAATGTAAACAAACTGATTATCATCCAATCCAATGAATAAATAATACACTACACAAACTCGCGTCGTCGTCCATCGTCATCGTCGTCACTGTACCTCCTTTTGGCTCAAGACAAAGTGCATACGAAGTGATACGAAAGTTAGGCAGAGTCCCGTTCCGCTCTCGATACCAAGGTATTCCGCTATATTTGTGTAGATTATCCTATAAATCTAAAACACTCTCTCAAACTGGCATACCTTCTTATCAATATACCTCGTCACAAAAAACGCCATAGTACCCCCTCTGTCACACCTCCCTCCCTCCAACTATACTGCTTTTGCTCACGCAAATGTTTTTGAAGTACGATGGTGATATTTTCACAAAAGCGTACACACAGCAACACCAAAAACAACAACAGTAAATGCTACACTAACATTAATGAAAACTGCCATGAAAACCGCAAGCGCAAGCGCCCTCTCTCCATCCCTCACGGCTTCTACATGCTGACCGGGGAAGGGGTGTCGTAAAATTAACAGTGGAACAAATAGCAAAAACGAAACTGCATGTGGAGTGTATACATTTTGTCGCACCTGTCAATTTTAGGGTTGTCAACTGCTCTTAGAGATTCAATCCCGCTGAAAGCTTTTCTTGAATTTAGTCAGTTTTTGTGCTGTTTGATTTACTTTACAAAGGTATCCCATTTCAATTTATATACCTAGGATAGTTACATGCAACTGCCTGTTTAATATGATAAAGATTCAATTGTTAGATTTATCGGTTATATGTATTGTTCAAATTTTAACTAATTTCTTTACTTAGTTGCTCTCATAAACGTCTTCACCTACATTGTATTACGGTAGGGTGGTTCCCCTTTCTAATCATTTAAGGCGGAATAAACCATATGCCCATCCCTCTCTCACCCGATTGAACTTTACAAATATGAAAACAACAAAATTCTTGCATAACTTTCCACAAAAGCAACAAAAACAACAACGAAAAACTCCACTTGCTAATCATCATCATCGTAATCATCATCAACGTGAAACCAAAACAACCTCCATAGCCACGCTCCTCCTCTGCTGAATGAATGAGTAAACAAAAATTCATTGCATTTCTCGCTCACCGAGACCGAGTAGCCTAATTTTTCGCCACTATCTCTCACGCGTTCTGTGTGCTCTGTCCGCACAACATAGGGAGGGTTCTCTGAAACTTCCTTACCTTGTAATAGTAATCCATTCACACTCCTCCTTCTCCAGAAGCTACTACTGCTTACTTCTTCTCTCTTCTGGAATTGCCACTACTGGTGTTGTTGCTGTTTATTTGCCTTGCACTTTTCATTCCGCCACCACACAACCAAACGCCACAGGGGGGCTGTGCAAAAAGGCGAGGTGTATGCTATGATGTGTTGTAGGCCAGAGTAAGAGAGAAAACAAAACAACGCGAATTACAACTGCAACAACAAGTGCATAATATTCCTGCTGCTACTCCAACAACAATAGGAAGCACAAACAACAAAGAGGGTGAGCACTGGGTGGGGGCGGTAGAGTGCAAGGCAATGCGTGAGGCGCGTCGTCGCGCTGCCTGCTGGCTAGCCACAACATAGCGGATTCAAAACAGCAACAAGAAAGGAAAACTTTCTTCGAGCGTCGATCATGTTGATACCCTTTTACATACATATGTATGTATGTGTAGGTATACAACGATCGATCCTTCATTCCCATTATAATGTTATCAGCACTTTATATCATATAAAGTTTTTACAATTTAAGTGTAGAAAGTCTAAGTAAATACAAATTTTTCTTGTAACCAAATATACAATTAAAATAATTTGTATTCCCGTATACTGGGTGCCACAAAATGTCGGTCGCAAAACGTGAGAAAAAACATCAGAATCGCGCGCATACAATTCGCCATATAAAAATCGAACTGATGCGCAGTTAGTTTTTAAAGTTCCGCATGTGCATCCTATCCGGGAAAGCTATCCAAGTCTTATTATGCTAATGAAAAAAGAGGAAAGCTGCCTGAATTCCGTCATCTCAAGCTTTTTTCCAAGAAGTCCACAGTTTTTTTTTTATTTGTAAGAGCTTAAATTTGCTTCAAAATTGTGCATTTTATCGTATATGTATATTCCACTATATTCCATATCTACTGGTTGTGTATTTGTTTAGGGCTATCTGCAAACATTTGTACAAACTCGAAATATCCCTCCGTTAAAGGGTATAAAATCAACAGCGTTGTACTTTTCAGCTCCTTCCTTCTCTGCTCTTCTTCTTGTTTGTTGTTGTCTTGAAGAAAATACCGCAGAGCCGAGCAAAACAATTGCAAAATATGAACAAAAATACATAACAATGAGTGGAGTGGGTGGCGGGGTGGTGGAGTGAAAACGGGAGTGGGCTGTTGTGGGTGGCATTGGCCGCTCGTGGGCGGTAAGTGGGCGTGGGCATGAGGCATGGGCGTCATGCCTGCACACGCAAATAATAATGACGCAAAAGCAGCGAAAAAACACGAGACAGAGGCTAAAAACCAAAAAAGAGAACAACGATAATATGACAGCAGCTACAATTAAAACAAAAACTGCAAACCCTGGACGGCATAGCACTAGAGGTAGGAGGAAGGCGATAAGAGGGGTCGTGTTGGGTGGCGGGAAATGGGATGTGAACCGATGTCAAAAGTGAGCGTAACAATTGGTGTATTCAGGGCACTGATTTATGGCCGATATAGACAATGAACAGAATGACCAGATTCAATTATTACGGGTATATGATAGAAGGGAAACAAAAATTATCGACAAGAAATCTTTCAAAGCTGAGATCTATTTTTTAATAATGATGTTATCATAATAGCCAATATGAAGGGTTCAGTTACCGATACACATATGTATGTGCATATTTTAACCCCTTGACAAAGATATGATTGTATTTTTTTCTAAATTACCGTTTCATTTGTATATTTTGTCTTGGCAACAATCCCTGTGGTCACACTATTCACCGTTGTGCTAAAGCTATTTGTCTAGTCATAAATGTCAAAATACGTTACAGGACAACACAGAAAACAATAGGTGACATGACTTGAACAAACAAACAAGTTGCATGCCACAGAAACCCCCCGACCACACCTCCCACCTTTTCACCCAGTTTGTCACTCTCCCACACCTATTCGTTATGCGTCCTTTATTTTACCACGAAAACTCCCCCCAGCCTAGCATCAACCCACGCCCTGCCTGCCTTCCAAAAGTCCAGGCGCCAAGTTTCATATTATTTTGCTCACAGAAATTTCATTTATTTTCTAGAAACAACAGCAAAAAGCGAATGAAAACAACCAAAGAGATGGAGACAGAGAGCAGCAACAACAACGTTGACGCACCGACTTCTCCCTCTCTCTCTTTCACTCTTTCCCAACTGGCATTTTGTTTTGATAAGTCTGACAAACAACAGCAGCAGCAAGAAGGACAACAACAAAAGCAACAGCAAAACAACAGTAACGAAGAGCAAGTGAAAAAACTAAAGGGAGACAGAGAGAGAGAGAGAGCCAAGCCAAGTAAAAACAAAAGCTCACAACGAATCACGGCAGACAGAGATAGCATATCAAAGATAGGAGAAGAAGCAAAATCGGAGCAGCGGTAGAAACGTTCAGAAACAAACGTTTGGTGTCGAATGTAAGGATACCTATTCCGTTGGCAGTCTAATGGAATATTATAATTGTAGGTGTCATCCAAAATATTGAAAATATAAGGAATATTCATCAGATTTTAAGTAAAAATCAACTCATGGATTGTTCATATAAATGCTAGAGCCAACTTGCATTTAACATTAATGCATCTAAACGGCTTAACAAAAACATCATACAGTCTGCAAGGGGTACTAACGTATGGGGCAAAAAAAAAAGCAAAACGCGCAAGTGTGCTGCGTCGCAGTCGCATTCTCGAAAAACATTTCGCGGTGCAAAACAAACATTTCATCATACAAAAAAAACAAAATAATGATGGGAAGAGGAGAGGGATTGGGAGAAGAGAGCGAACGGCGACGAAATGTCAGGGCCCCCCACACCCCCTGCTCTGATGGTTGCCTGGCGCGACAAGTCACATAGCGGACAACACACACGCGCATACAATCCAGAGACAGAGAGAGAAACAATTTCGTGTGGCTGCGGTCGAGGAACGCACACACACCAGCGCAAATTTCTAAGAAAAATTTATGCGTAAAATTTTAATTCTGTTTTGATCGTCAACAACAAAAAAGCACACACACACACGGCAAGAAGACAGTGCTGAGCGTCAGAGAGAGAATCGAATCACACACAGAAAAGCAAAAGTCTCTCTGTACCAAAACAGCAAGTCACTCGCGCACATGTTTGATTGGTTCGTGCTCTCTCTCCAGGTTTGCTCTCTCTCTCACTCTCTTTCCTACTGGACGTGTTGTGACGCTCTCTTTCTGGTAGCTTTTGGCGCTTGTTTTGATTTGAAATTAACACTAGAAAAGTTTTGCTGCCCATTTGTGTGCCAACAAAAATATCCCCTGATAGGCGTTCAATTTAATACATTATTGAGACTATTGCTAAGCGCTTGATAAGTCGCCCACACGTGATTTGGAGGCAAATCAACACGCCAAACATTTATGTATATTTCATGATTCTCAAGAAAACTTATTTAATTTGGTCCAAACGAGGTAAAAGCTAAATTCGTCACAAAATCAAACTTATAGAAAATCCATCAAAGAAATATTTTATGATTGTCAAATACTTGTTGCCAACTGAAAAAATATCACACACAGACACACATTTCTTCGCGGGGGCAATTCCCGCTAATCAATGACATTGACCACAGTGGGGTTAAGCCCCCTCAACACTTGCTTGCTTGCGAGTACGCATTTGGGTTATTTTCCGCCCCGCTTACTCACCGCTCCGAAATATTTCAGCTCTTTGGTCTTGATGCGTCTATGCTGCATGGCGGGCTGTGTTGTTCCTCCTCCCAGTCCAGGTGCTCCACCATTGCCCGCTGCCGCAATAGTGCTGCTCTCGTAAGCTGCCGCTGCGGCGGCTGCCAGTCCATTGAGCCCATTGTGAGTAGCCACTGCCGCCACTGAGGTGGCAACAGGATTGGCCACAATGTTGCTGCCAGCACTGGGCAGGACACCGCCACCGGAGCCGCCGCCGACCCCACCACTGAGGCTGCCACCGCCGGCCTCCATGAAATCGAACCGCTTGAAGGCATACCACTTGGACGGATTGGGCTGGATGCCCTGGTAGATTTTCACAAACATTTTATGCTTCTCGCGCCGGTACTGGGTGAGCAATACGTTCATCTTGCGCTCCACCTCGGCCTTGCTGCAACCGAAGCGTTCGGCAATCTCCGACCAGGCTCGGAACCGGCACAACTTGTCCTTGTACTTGGGATCGGCCCGATTCCAGAGCTCTGTGTGACAGCGATACTGTTCGATGAGCTCCAAGGCATCGTCATTAGTCCATTCCATGATTTTTGGAGAAATATTGCCAGCTGTATTGCCTCCGTGTCCCGGTGTCCCGCTGCCCACACCCACCACTATCGCTGGCTGGCTGCTGTAGCTGGGCAGTGGGATTATGTGGGGCTGATGCTGATTATGGTGCGGGTGCGTGTGGTGTTGATGCAGTAGGTGGGGGTGGGTGTGGTGCGTATTGTGGGCGGCTGCTGCTGCTGCGGCTACAACGCTGGCCGGATTGAAGTTCATTTGCTGTTTCGCTCACTCGGTGGGGTTGCAGTGTCTGTGTGTAGTGCTTGTGGTGCTGTAACGCTCAGCTTTCTGTCTTGGCCCACTATCACTCACTAGTTGTCTCGCGCTCTCTCTCTATCTCTTTCTCTCTCTTTCAATTGCTTTGTGGCCGTTACTCTCAGGGAATGTCGCGCGAAATGCACTCAATCAACATCGTCTTCTGTGCGTCTGTCGACTGTGTCTCATTCTCTTTCATTTGGCAATTTTCCTATGCTTGGGTAAAAAACTGTAAAGAGAGAGGAGATACAAATTAATAGTTTTTGTATATTTATGGTAGAAAGTTCTAACTACAATTTACTTGAACTATTTTCATACTTTTAGCCTTTTTATTGTTATATTCGCAGGTTATTTTCACCGTGTTCCCAACATTCCTGGCTTCCCAACAACCGTCCCTGGCTTAAATGATAACCGTGACTCATGCATGCAATCACTCACCCAATCACGCACACTCTCTCATACAGCGCCACTGGGCAATCGAAACTGTTTACGGCCAAATACGTGTGCAATCCACCGATCGGGGCTGGTCATTCGGACCCTACTCCGCTGTTAACTCTGTTATTCGTGCCAGCCCCCACACTCCACCCGGCAAACATTGTGTATGAGTAGAGAGGTGTTAATCAGAAATAGGAAATGTTCATGCCAACAACTAAGCATGGAAAAAATAAAGCAAGCCCCTGCCACTCATCGTCATTATTAGCCAACTAAAAAAGGGGCCTCTCTCTCTCTCTCTTACTATACCGCTCGCGGTGGCAGTAGCAAACTTGTTAATTGCTGGGGATTTTTATTTGATTTGGCATATAATTGATAAATTGAAAGTCCATTGCGAAAAGTCAACCGACATTTTTCCATGCCAGTACGAAATGGGGAACTAGTCTAAATATTTTAACGACATTTAGTGCAGTGCTAAAGCTGTAAAGCAGTTGTAGTAATTATAATTGTTAATATTTTAAAGCGCAAATAAATTTAATGGAATTCAGTTTCCTGGGAAAACAACATTTTGTAGAGAAAAAGAAAGAACAGCAGTCAATAGATTATCATTATTATTATTTGTAAATATATAAAATTATTTGATATAGAATCCCATAAAATAGACACAACTTCAATTACATTAACTCATAACGATATTAAGGGTTGTTTCGTGATGACTGCTTTTAAATGACATTTAATAATAATGTAATGACAATTCTAATCGGATTCTTTGCCTCATTCGAATGACAAACAAAAAATTACTCGAATAAAATAAACTTTATCCCGAAACATCTTTAAACAAGATAATCAAGATATCATCGCTTGCATCTGATGATGAAATAGATGTGACGTATGTATGTATTTAGATTTATCAACCATGTTTACCCGAGATATTCCCCATGTTTACCCATGATATTCCCCCATGCTCGTGGCTTAGGAATTTCCATTAACCTGTTTCTGGCTTCTTATCCCAAATGGAAAATCCGATGCCTACTCAGATATTGCGTTGTTTCAAACCAAATCGAATTCGCATTCTTAATGAACTCCAATCTGAACTTTAGATGATCGACATTTGTAATCTACTTGTACACAAAAATAAAACACAAACAAAAATCAAAACATGCTTTCCCATTCAGAAATTCCGTATAAAATCAGCAAGCAATTTTTTAATCAGTTTACAAAACACGTCACCCATCTACGCCAGTGCCTGGCTGCCTGCCTAGGTCAGTGGCACTTAGTATAGTATGCCCAGAGATCATTTATAGTACATTCGTTAGGTTAGTTTTTGTTCTATATAGGAACCAAGTCCACGGCGCATGATGTAGCAGTTTTTGCTGAAAACAGATTTTGGTATTAACATTTTGACATACCAGGGGGAAAGGGAAAATGTCGCAATTTGTACAAAATGCCTGGCGACCAAGACATTTCTGTTAAGAAAAACGCGTGTGTGTATGTAAATGTCACCAAGTCAACAACAAAACGCAAGTAAGAATGATCGAGTAGAATGTGAAGACTAAAATTGTACCTTGTACTTCAAGAAGAAAGTGTGAAAAACTACATTCAACAAAGAAAAAATTTCTCTTGGCAGTAATCAATTTTGTGATCTAAATAAACACACACACACACACACACACAGATATTAAATATGATTAATACATATTAATTGTGAATTCTGAATTCTGTGGAGACATAGTAAATAAAGCCGGGGGAATTATAGATGTTTTCATGGAATTTCCAGCTTGTAACTTTCCCGATATTGCAGATGTAGTTACGACTGTAACTGTACTTCTCCCTCTGTAAAAATATTCAATATGAGTACATTCTACGTGCCGAATAAAGTTCTTTCAGCTTTTACAAAGATCAAACTATCATTTGGCCGGTTCCTCTGTAACAATCGATCGGGAGTGTTTCTTTCTTTGTTTTGGGACATTTATAACCTCGCGTGGGACATACCCTCTCTTCCTGTACGATTACCGATGGGTATGACAACTACATACAACGGCAAAACGATAACAACAAAGATGGCAAGGCGAACAGTGCTCGCTGTGTGCGCCTCGTCATTCACAATAGACGGAAGCGTAATTCGCACACTACACTGGCACACACACACAAACAGAGACTATAGACCATGGACACGTGCGCTTTCACTCGCACACACGATTACATTGCGCATTATACTATGCTGCATCTCGCTTTTACATCAATCTTTGTCGAACGTAAATTTTTGCTTCCTGGTTGTATTCGCAGGTTTCAACGCAATTTGCTTTACGTTATTAGCACTTGTCGCAATAGACGTAACGTATAGTATAACGTATACCAATAGGAAAGTGCCTTTCTTTGTGTTTTAGTACATGATTTAGCACACCTAATTTTCATTTAATAAATTGTTCTGTAATTGGTTTCTGTCTCCCCCCTCTCGTACTCTCTCGGACAAAAATGTTCGAGAAGTACAATATTTCTTTGTGCGCAGATTGCGACGCTGCGCAAACAGCTGGATGAATCATAACGGTAAACACACCATCACACAGAGACACTGGGAGTGCAAAAGAGATGTCTGCCACATGAAGCTTATGGAAAAAAAACCTTAATTTGTTTTTTTTAGTTAAGGTTCAGTTTGCCTTTTGAATGTCTTGCGTGCATGGTTTTTCTGTTTTGTTTGTGTTTTTTTTATTTAGTTGTTTGCTTTGCTTTGGTTTGGTTGTTTGCGCCACTTCTGCGTCAATTTTTAGACGCGACACATTTTGGTCTATTTTTAGAACTTGTTTTTTTACGCCACGCTGCCTTTTTTACGCACTTTTTCCGCTCTCTCACTCTTTTGTTGTGTTTCTGATAGATTTTGTTGGTATTTTCAATTGAATTTTCCATTGTTTTATAGATATTTTGCCATAATATTGTTTTGCCCATTTTGCATTCTGTTCGGACGCCGTCTACGGCCTCGTTTTATTTTTAAGTAGCACAGTTTTGAGGGATTTACTTGGAATTTTGCGGTCAATTTTGGTTATATTTTTTCCCATGTACTCGTACTAATTTTTTTGTATTCTTTCCGAATGTTGTTTACTGATTGCGTTTATAGATTTTGGGTTTTTTTCGCCAAAAGTTTAATTTGCATGTCTGTGCCTGTTTTGTTGCTGTTTAATTCCCAAGAAAAGCGGGCGGCGCATGTGTTTGTGGCAAAAGGTGTCGGGCGAGTCGTCGTCCGCGGGGGCTTTTTAGCAGGAATTCGAAAATGTCACACTTTTTATTGGACGACTTTTGTAATATGAATCATGGGAGAATTGTTTAAATCCCATTGGTTTTAACAGGAAGTTGATTTTTTTATTATGTTTTTAATTTACAGTTTTATTGGGGTCTTTATTTTAGCTGTGGAATTTGCACTTGTAGCACATTCGCTTGAGGTTTTCTGTGTGCTTCCCTTTGACACATTTCTTTAAATGGTTTTTCATTATTTAATCGGATCTGTTCCACTGTCACAAGTTAAATTGTATAATATACGAGTTCTCAAAGGGTTTTACAACTTTAAAAACATTTATGCATAGTTTTTTTGGACACACATTTTCACTAAATTCCAGGTAACATCCGTCGAAAATATGACTTTTTCGTATTGTTTTTTAAATTTTTCTGATGATTCGATTTGTTATATTCTTTATTTTTAGTACACTCCTCCCCTTTGTATATTTTAAAAATTTCTTTTAGCACACAACACACTTCCAACAACCATTTTGAATTCGTTTAATACTGTTTCCAAAAAAACCGAATCGCCAAACCGTTCATTTGCATAAAATCCATGTTGCCCACAATTTAGTTTTTGTTTCTGTTTCGTTTCGCCTTTTGTTTCTCTGGCTGATTTGTCATTTCGAATTAAGATTTCAGAGGTAGAGGGAGACAAAGTAAAAGGCGACGAAGAAGAAAATCGCCAAGAGGCATAAACAACAAATGAAACAACGCAAAAAAGTAAACAACATAAAAAACCATCGAATATTGAGCACAAAAAACTTAAAAATACATTTCAAGGCATGAAATCAAAAAAACCAATTACAATCGAAAACACACACATTTTCAAACAGATACGCACTTGGCTGGGGTTTCATGTGGAAAACAATGTTTTTGAAAACTTGTTCTATTTAGCTCTTTATGAATTATTTTCAATTAGACAACGATTAAGAGGCACTTATGGGCACATAATTTACAAACATTTCTGTATAAATACCAAGGGAAATGTTTATTTTGGAATTCTCAGATTAATTTTTTATATTTTTAATTTCAAAAATACGTTTTGAACTTCAAGAACTACTTTAGTGTGATATTTTTCGAAAACATTTCCTTGTTCTTTTCTAACTGTGTCTTTTATTTGTTTTGCCGTTATTTGTTTAGCAAACACACAAACAGCAGCAGCACAGCAGGAGGCAGATAGGCTTTTTCCATCTCACTTGCCAAACCAAAAACACACGCACAGCCTCACAAATACGTGGATACGCACTTGCTTGTCCCGCCGATATTTACCGTTATATACACGCCGTGCCGCTGTTGCGCTTCTTTGGGCAAAAATGGTTCTAAACAGTTACGCGCGCGTATGTAAACGATAAGTTTTGTGTCGGCTCTCACGGTACCGTTACAACCGTTCGCGAGCAACGTCTGATAGCGTCTGTTTCCTCGTCTGAGCTTTCCCGACAAACACCGACAAACTTATTGAAATCGATTTGTAAACGCACCGACAGCAGCGCAGCGACTCGACTCGACGTATGTATTGAAATGAGCACACAGCAGCAGCAGCAGCAGCGGCGGCAGCGGCAGCGTTCAGTAAACAGTTGTTTCGTGGAAAAACAAAACGAACATCATAATGAAGTTCTCTTTTCGCCTGTTGTGAAATTCTACGGTGCTTTGTTTGTCATGCTTAAAGCGAACGAACGCGCGCGAGAGAGAGACCTGGAGAGAGAGAGAGAGAGAGAGAGCGAGACCGAGGAGTGTGAGCGAACTAGAGAGAGTGCGCGCCAAAAAACCAAGCCAAGTGTATATGAAAATAGGTATGGAATTCCCTCCTTTTGGCAGACGAACAGATTTTGGGGAAGTTTAAAACATCTCAATAAACTTCTTCGGCTTCTATATAAATATACTCTATTTAATAGAGTATGAGGCACCCAATTAGAATATAAATTACTATTAAAAATATATGAAATGTACATTGTAGATTACTCACAAGCACCTGATCTTCTGCTGCTTTCCAAGAGCTCCAACTGAATTGACTGACCTTCTTTACAAAATGCCTTGCACAAGCAGTTGTTTTGATAAAGTGGAAAGAAACAGCAACAACAAGTATGAAGTGGAAAGAGGATGGGTTGTGGAAGAGCTACTACGTCTGGAGAGGGGCGGTGGAGGAGCTATTACGATGATGACGCTGATGAGGATGATGAAGAATAGTTTTGGAGAGAGATGACGAAGAGAAGGTAACGGAGACCGCCTGCTTCTTGGGCCGCCGCTGCCAGCTCACACACACCACTACATGCGCAGCGAGTCAAACAAACAAATAAAATGTGAAGCAGAAATGGCAAAAAATTAAACAAACAAGTAGACAGGAGCGGTTCACCGCGGGCAGCGGGGACGTCGACGGCAGACCTCGAGTTGAACGAACCGAAAGACGACCAAGACACAAAAAAACAAAAATCAGCTCAGCGGCAGCTTCGCGCCAAAAAAAAACATCAACATTTCTACTACGCCGTAGTGAAATTCCTACAACAAAAAAACGTTCTCTCAATTGACATTTGGGGATTTTTATTTTCGATAAGGTGGTCGGAATGATCTTGGGGAAGTAGGAAGAAATAGGTGAAATATTTGTGATAAATTATATCCATAAGTCTTACAGTGGGAGCTCTGTTGGAACGACAGATTCAAAGGTGATGGCGGGTGTAGAACGTTCTTAAATTAGACTGACGAGAAAGTTTAAGACTTGGTTCACTTTCAAGTCTCGCCTGCGATGAAAGCACTTTATAATGTTCCTTCTACACAGTTATCACTGTAAGTATTGCATTCAATTTAAATTCCAAAGTTTTTTCTTCCCATTGCGAACAAAATAGTTCCTGCTTTTCTATTTCTGCTTATTTTCTTTGGTTTTTATTTCTTTCTGTTTTGGTTTCTATTTATTTTTGTTTAGTTTTGTTTGCTCGTTAGCCAAGGCAGTCGGTCCAAGGGGGCCACTGCAAAGGGCAGGTGCTGTGCTCGCTCCGCTCCGTTCGCTGTCATTTTGCTCGCTGTCTCTCTCTCTCTCTTTCTCACACACACCATTTCACTGTAGGCCTTCCAATCCTCTCCCTCTCCACACGAAAACATGGTCTGCTTGTTTGTTTGTTTTTCGTGCCGTGTTTTATTGTTGGCCCCTGCCCCTGCCCTTCCCGCGACCATTGCTCCGCTGCTTGGTGCGTAGTTTTTACGTTCGTCATCGTTCGCTTGGTATTTCCGTCTTCTGCCGCTCTCTCGCTGCTGCTAAATAGTTTGCCTTGAGCGTCGTCTTTTACAGTTGTGCTGTTGTTTGGTTTTCTGCTATGCAAACTAAATGCATTTGTATGCCTCTAATTATACCCTTCCTGGGAGAGAGTACGATTATTTAAATCAGAGTTTTGCCAAAACTTAGGAAGAAATATTATGAACCGAGAGCTATTTAAGTAGCTTAAACAGAACTAAACAACGTCGATCTAATTGTGCAATTGGTCTTTGTAAATCTGATCACCACCTTAAATATTAATTAATCCTAGAAATTAATGATATGCAAGGGTATTCTCAGCTTCGACACCGTAGCCGAATTCCTTTCTTATTCACTTTTCTATTTACCTCGCGTTTCTCTGCTGCTCGAGCTCGAGCTTTGTTTTTGTCGTTGCCATCTCTCCGTCGCTGCCTTGGACAACGCTACCTACCTTTGCTTCTGTCATAGTGCACTGCGTTTTCAGTCACTGCGTGGGCGGTGGGTTTGTTGTTGTTTTTGCCTCTGCTCTCGTGCGCAAGCTCTCACGTGCCAACGTAGAACAACAGCAACAACAACACGATGCTGGCACGGCAGAGTTATTTCAGCTTGTTCTCCTCCACACTCTTTCCTCCTTCTAGCCCTGTCCTTGTCGCTCTTGCTAGGTTACGAGTCACCACTATATTTTATTTCGTTAGTCTTTGGCGTGCATTTGGATCACTATGGGATTCGTATCGTGGATTGCCAAAATTGGTTGCAGGGCTGAAAATATTTGTTTGTGCTCTTTTATCTAACTATTAAATAGATTGACGAACATAACCTTGCAAGGTCAGCTTCAAGCAATCTAATCAGCTTTACATAGTCATTTGACTGGCCCACAAGCCTCTTTAAAAAGTAATGGATCATTCAGACCAGGCATTTTTCGGACTTTATCCTACAATTATATGAAAATATTTGTGTACAGTGACTTGATTTTATTAGTGGCAATCAATGCTTAATGGATTCCATTATTTAATCTATACCCTAACTCCCGTCCCAAACAGAACCGCAGAGTCATGCCGCACAGCGCACATTTTAATCGATGTGACCCACTGTGAAGGCCACATGAGAAATGCTAATTAGTACAAATTCGTTTTGTCACAATTTGACAGAAGCTTTTCGAGAGACTCTTTCTTTCTGTTTTATTCTTATTGCGAATAATCAAATAAGAAAGTTCGACAGTGGTTCGTGGGGGTTCGTGCTAAGGGTGGGAAGGGGTCAGTGGGCTAAGTGCTTGTTGGTAAGGCACGGGAAGGATGGTGTTTTTGTGCTTCGTTCTGCCTGCCGCCCACTGACTCTGCCGACTGCGACGCTGCAAACAAACACTTGTTTGCACAGGAGCGAATGAATGACGACAACAGAGAGAGTAAACCCGAAGAGTGCACGAATTGAGAGAGCAGGCGCAAAAGGCAGCTTTGTTGATGTAGAGTTTATGTACATATGTATGAATGAGTGTGTGGGTGGGTGTGAGTAAATTTACAACTAGGAAGCGTCGTGACTGAAGTCGTGGCAGCGACGTCGCCGCTTGTTTACAATGTTTCTGCGTGGGTGGACTTGGGGATTCGTCGGGGAAAGTATGAGGATGGGAAAGTGTGTGGCGTGGGGGATGGTGGATGGCCATGGAGAGTAGAAATTAAGACGTGTCAAGTCTTGACCCAAGCAGAGAACCCCGCCCCCACAGTGCGATAGTATTACTGTTTCAGCTGGCGTCAATGACGTCGCCGACCAACGCCACTGAAGGTCATTATACATTTCGCATTTTGCGTTGGCGACGTCTCGATTCTTCTGGTGGCCCCACTCTCTGATATTCAGCGATTACGGGTATATTGAGAGATTAATACAGTTTGCAGTTATATTAATAATAGGATATACAAATATGTAGGAATCGAAAAATGATACCTTCAAAATTTGTAACTTCAGTATGGACTGCTGGAAATGTCAATGTGAAAAGATTACCGGGCATCTCTTTTGTCGATCAGCCTGGAGATGCCTTGACTTGTTTTTTGGTCCGTCTTTTTATTTTGTTGGACTTCGGCAGTGGAATTGTGTAAACAGCACAGCGGCAGAAGACAGGCGGCAACAAAAACAAAGGCAACGCAGGGAATGCGAGTAAACAAAAGTTATTCTTTTTTTTTTGTTTTTGATTTTTTTTGCACAGACAATGCAAGAAAGTGTATTCTCGGTTAGGGGGTGGACGGTGGTTGATGGTAGAATGGGGCGACAGCAAAAGACAAGACATGAACGGGGAAAGGGCGGACCGACACGCAGAGAGACCGAAAGAGAGACGGAAAGCAAAGCTAATGAAGATGAGACTGATGAGTTTTTGTTGCTCTACTCTTTGCATAGGGTATTATGTTTTTGGTCCAGCACATTCTCTGCAATGCTGAGAAGGAGGATTTCCAATCGCATAAAACTTATTGCATAATGTCAAATGAATGGGCAATGAATATTCAGGTTTGATGCATTTTTGAAGTCCAATTTACATAAGTGTTACACAAATTAGCAGTTAAAAATAAATTCGATCAGCAAGGGTAGTAAACGCTTCGATCTTGACTGGCCATTCTTTCTTTCTTGTAGTTATTTTCCTTTTCGGTCGCCTTTTGTTGTTGAGCTTCGGCTGCAAAAAATATGCAAAACAGCAACAATAATAATGGATGCAAGGCAGCAAAATACGCAAATAGAAGCAATGAACTTAATTAGTTGTTGCTGTTGGTGCTGTTGTCAAAGAGCTTTTGCGGTAGGGATGTACAGAGTGGAAGAGAGAGAGACAGAGAGAGGGAATTGAAGAGAGTGCGTGCATGAGGCTGTGTGTGAGTGCCTGCTGTGATTTGGAGATTGACAGTGGGGTCCCCCTCTGATAGTGGGCTGCGTTTGCGTATCTTTGTTATGCATAATACTACATGGGTATAGCAAATACTTGTAATTAAAGCGACAGAGCTACAGACAATACATAGGTATATTTCTGGGTTTTTGTTCAGAAATATATAATTCTTTTATTTGAAAATACTGAAACAGTAATTTTTAGGTCCATGTTTAGAAAAAAAAATTAAAAAATTAACTTTTAACAGTTTTCCCATACCGGGAATTGAACCCGGGCCTCCCGGGTGAGAGCCGGGTATCCTAACCACTAGACAATATGGGAGGTGAAATATGAAAAGAATTTTTCCTTAATGAGCACAGTGGAATGCTTATGATTTATTTTAGGACCTTCGACGAATTAAAATAGAATTAGTATACATACATACATATATTTACATATGTACATGAAATACTTGGAAGTTCCTAAAACGGAAGTTAGTTGAACCAAAAAGACCACTATGCACTAAAGTTTTTAATTTAAAATTATGTATTTACATATGTACATAAGCATGAACAAATATACATAAATATGTATGTACATAGTATGCACATTCCTCTACCCATGACTTTGAGAGCACAAATAATTTATTTTGTTGTCTTTGAATCTAACTGTCTTCCCACCCGTTAAAAACAATTCGCAAACCTTGGCAAAACTTCAAGCGGATGTAAACAAATTTGTCTTTCGTTCGTCATTTCCCTCTTCCCTTTGCACCAACCTCCATAAGGTTGAGCACTAGTACGCCCTGTGGTATGCATCACTTATTTGCAGCCGAGGCAACTGTACCCCTGAATATAATTATGATGAAATGTTTATTTAACTATGTTGCAAACCAAAAAATGTTGGATTGTTTTGATGTGTGTTGGTGCATTCTAAATGTATTTTTTTATAGTTTTTATAATTTTCGGTTGAAATGTTTCCTCCATGTTGACATTGTTTTTCTGAACGGAAAAAAATACGCTTGTCGCATTTATTTACTAACCCAGACCCAGACCCGTACCCGAGGGGGTGGGGACATGGAGACCCGTCTGGTTGTTGTTGCAACTGTTTACTCTTTTTCTTCTGCTTATTTCTCCTCTCTTCTGTTGTTCCATTCGGATAGAAACAACAAAAACAACAACAACAGCAACAAGAGAACAGCACAGAACTCCCGTTGCAATTTCGCATTCGTTTTTTCGGTCTCTCGCTCTTTCGTTGATTTTTCGTGTGCATTCAGCAAAAATTGTTTTCTGTTGCGCCCAATGCTGTGTTGTTGTTTATTATACCTTGTATTTGCACAATAAAAGAGTATGCTATATTCGCCTAAAACAGAACAAAAATAAAAGAAATACCCTCGGAATGCAATGAACTAGCCATGTCAATACTCGACTTCTGGATATTTTCATGTCTCTTTGATATTCCAATCTCTGTGCTGTTCATCCAGAATTTATTTAAAAAATTGCTAACAATTTTGTATGCATGAAAAAAATACGGTATTATTTTTTAATCATATTCATGCATATGCATGTGTAAATTTTACCATTTTAGGAATACCTTTGGCTTTGTAGTTTTCCAAAACCTTAAAGAGGGTATTCCCCTAGTCGAAATATCTGCCATAAATCTTCTTAAATGTTGTTTTTGATTTTGCTACTATTTTGTTGTTGGGAGTTTTGCCCCCCCTTCTGGCATGCTTTTGTTGCTTCTCCATGTACGACTTGTGTTCCGTGTGCTTTTATTACTGTAAATTTGCGAAAGTACAGCTGTTAACAATAACAATGACATAGAAACACTCCCCACAGAAGAAACAGAAACAGAAATGCCAACGCAGCTATGCTCCGATGGCAAAAAACACATCAACTAAACGCAGAAAAAAAAATTAATTAATTAAGCATTTTTTTGGGGCAACGAACGTTGCCAACACGTGAGCTGCATGTGGGTGGCTGGTGGGTTGGTGTAGCACTGTCTGCTTATGTTTTAGCCTTAGTACTTGGCCTTTTTGTGTTGCTGTCTTTCTGGTTATCTGGAATATGTCGAATATTTCGCTGCACTTTTTCATGGCTGTCGCGCGCTCGGTTCGCTCGGTCTGAAGCCTTGAAATGTAATTGAAAAGGGCACAAAACAAAGCAGCCTCAACTTGTTGGATATGGCACAGGTCTACAATGTGGGTCTAGACCACATTATGTAGTAATGTGAATTCGTCTTTATAACTAATTTTATTAGGGGATGCTACTGCTTCTTTGTGGGTTTTTGGGAGAGCCAAGAAATAATGAATTAAATTAATTTTATTTTTCTAACAATTTTCATAATAATTCTTCTTAGAAATGTGGAATGTCCTCTTGAAATACCAATACAAATTAGGCATTTTGAAAGATGTATCCAGGAATGATGCTCGAAAATTGAGAAATGGCAACAAATTGTTGTACTTAATTTTGAATAGAAGAGTGGGAGCGGTCCAAGCAGTGGAGATGTGTCCTGTGGATAATAGTGGATCTAAGGCTCTGCGGGCGGTAGCTGGGGGGTGGGTGGTGCCTGGGCCCTGAAGAGTAAACGAAGTCAGCAACAAAACGAAACAAAAACGTACAAACGAACCAACAACTGAATGAAATACAATAAAATTTTAAAACAAACAAAAGCAAACACACAAAGCGACACACAGACTGAGTGGGTGGAAGATGAAAAGTAGGGGATGGCAGAAGAAAGTGAGGCAGACAAAAAACTGAATAGAAAGAGATGGCGAAACACACACAAACAAACACAACAAGGAGCCCAATGCGAATGCTACTAATGAGCACTGAAACAACAACAATGAAAGAGATGGAGCAGGACAGGAAGGAGGAAGTGGAAGTGGAAGCAGAAGCAGAAGCCCAAGAACCAGAGGAAGTGGGAGGTGGCCGTGGCAAAGGAAGAGCCAGGAGGAAGAGGTGGAAGAGCAGTCCGCAGCAGGCGTCGACATCATTCGTGACAGTCACCTAACCATAGCCGCCCCACAGTTCCCTTTTCCATTGCTGCATTCTATGGCTTTGAAATAAACAAATAAAACTAAAAACAACTAACAATCCTCAATGGAATATTTGGACTAGCCCTTTACCCTGTAATTGCATTTTTAGTAGACAAAAACAGAAGATACGTACATAGATAGGTATTTATTTTATAAATATTTTGATGTAACCTTTGACGAAGAATGTCCAAATTCGACTACTTTGTACACTTACTGGTACATAGTATAAACATTGAATTTAATCATTGCAATGACTATATTAGAATAAACTTTTCAGGTTCGAGTTCTTGATACCTCTCCATACGCGTTTTTTCTGTACATATGTATGTACATGGTGAATGGAGAACACTGGATATATGTAACTACTGAAATGTTTATTGTTCACCATCTTGTTCATGTTACAAACACCCTCATTAACAAAATCTATCCTTCAGCTTTACTCCTACAGGGTATAACAAACAACAACGACAAGGAACAGTTGTGTTATATAGTAAAATGCTTATTTACGCATACAATTGCACGTGAGAGAGCAGCCCACACCAGAGTGAGAGAGAGAGAGAGGGACAAACTCTGAGAAAGAGACAGCAAACGGACATGGCCCCAGGGGGTGTTGGTTGGTGGTGGGATGGGTTAAAATGGGAAGTTTTGTTTGCAGTGCTCACAGCAACAGAGCGGGGAGACAAACACAACTGTAACTGTAATTGTGTGTTTGTTTGCTCGAAACTTCTTCCCCCGCCGCACTCCACCCACACCACCCACACCACCCACTTTGAATCAACCTAAGGCAAGGCCCTCCTGTACAACCCGCAGTTGTCTGGTTTCTGTTTCTGTTGCCCTTTCGTTTCGTTTTTGGCCAAATAAAAAGTTTGTTGAGAACATTGGCAAATGTTTGTTTTAGAAGACAGGAAAATGCTTCGGTGGTTGCGACATTATTATCGTTATCGCAATCATCATTTACATGATGATTAGAATTAACATCATTATGATAATCGTCATCGTCATCTTCATCAGAGTTGAATTGTTTTGTATTTGTCTTTGTCTCGTTCATTGGCTTCCTTCGTTTTCTATGCTTATTGCTTCTGCTTCTGTTGCTTGTTTTTCCAACTGCTTTTCCCTATTTTTTTATTTAATTTCAGAATTGTTGGGAATATTCCCTACCTATTGCGAGATTTTTAGCAAATAGAATAATTTTATGAATTCTAATTCAGATAATGGCATTCATTTCCACTGACTGGCTTTGTTCTGAGAAAATTCAATGCAGATCCCATGATTCTCGAGCGAAGAGCGTATATCCTCCGATAACAATGTGTGCGTATATCCTCCGATGTTTGCGCTTCATCGTCATCGTCGTTTGCTACTCGTACTTTTGCGTAGTTTTGTTTATTTTATTTGGTTTGCTTTGTTTTATTTTTGTTTATTTTTGTTTGATTTTCGTTCCCCCTTGGACCCCTACCCACCCAGTCACACTACACATCCCTTAGAAATTCCTCGCCCCACACACCAGAACAACCTTATCAACCCACCGACCCACCTCAAATTGTTGGCCTGTCGCCGTGTTTTGTTTTACTTGTGCTGCTTCCTTCTCCTCCTCCTTCTTTTTGCTTTTCCTTCAGTGGGTGGTGGGGAGTTTGCCAGAGTTTGCTGTTGTTTTCTCCATTTCCCCTACCCTCACAGCTTTTTTGTTTTCTTCTATTTAATTTTGTTTTATTTTTTTTCTTTCCTGCTCTGTTTTCTTGTGTTGTTATATTTTGTGTAGGTGTATTGACTTAAAGTTTGTTATACTTCTTTGCCTTTTGTCTTACAGGTTCCAGGTTCAATTTCTACTTTCTCGCCCTCTCTCTCTCTCTCTTCTTTAGCGTTTCTTTCTCTCTGGCACTTCTTCTGCTTCTTCTTCCACTTCTTGTTATTGTGGAAGGAAACGCCTTCGAGACATTTCAGTGTTTGCTCTTTGGGTGGGTTCTAGGGGGCCGGTGGGCGGGTTCATCGTGGAGAAATTCCCCAAGTTTATACTGGGCGGGTTTTCTTTTATTTTTTTTCTTAGTACTTTTAGTGCTAACATTGGACATTGGATGACCGACCGACCATCCATAGGGCTACTTATTCGAAAACAACTGAAATATTTATCTAGGCATGTTTTCAATGGGTAGTACGGGCAGTAAAGGTAGTCAGGGGAAGGACAAGGATTTCAAAAACAACAAGTTCACTTCCCCTAGGGTGCGGGACAGAAGATAATCAGTGCTCAAAGTTAAGGATTAACATTTAAGAAATTAATATATTAAGAATTGATCTTTTCATAAGATCCTTGTTCTGAAATACATTGAAACGTTATTAAAGTACACTTTTAATTTTTATTCAGAAATTGGTCTAACAAATTTGTAAAAACTAAAATATTAAAAACCCAAAAATATACACAAATTTACCCCCCCCGAAAGTAAAATGAGCCGGACCCGAGATTGGTCACGGGCCAGGCCTTACATACCCAAGGATAACCTAACGACCGAGGCGGTAATAAGGGCTACCAAATTTCCAGCAAAAATTGACCCAGAGGTGGGCTTTATTCTATATTCTGTATGCATTTATTTTGAGATAATATTTACAGTGTGGCCCCATCTCGATGTCGATGATCATTGGCTGGGAGTATGCTAGGATTTGGCTGCGTGAACGCGATGCCAATGTAGCGCATCACTTACAGGCGGCCAAACCCAAGACTGTTAATAATGATTTCGAGTGGTGGCTGAAGCTTCGCAAGACCAACAAGCGGTTCTGCAAAATTAAATAAAGATTGTATTTGATGAATTTCCGAACAAGTTCTAAGCAATTCTAGACTCTGAAATTATAACTTCAAAAATAGTAAACAGCAAGAAATCAACCATAAACTGCAGAAATATTTAAGCGATTCTGGTTATATTATCCCTTTCAAATGTTTAACAAAATTGTAACTGCCGTTTTCAATACCATGATCTAAAATAAAGCTGCTTAGCGGATACTCAACCCACAGTTGCGGGCGTATGTTAAAGTTGGTTGTGTTCTCCGCTGGTGAAAAAGCTTGCTTTTGGCTTTGTAAATGGAGTTGCAAGCTTTTGGTTTGTCGTTCTTGGGTAAGGTAATGGCAGCCTGGCAGTAACCTATGAGCAGATTTTCTTGCAAAGGTCAGACATCAGACATATCAACAGCTTGTTGGCCTTCTAAGATGTGGGCCCAACTAATTAGGCTGCTACTTGTTAATGTAAAGTTAATGTTAATGCCAATTTTAACATCAATGTTAACGTTACTTGTTGGCTGACTTCATAGACAAACGTTTACAAGTAACAACTTATTTAGTTGGCACATTTGTATGTTTGAAGTCTCCGGGTGGAGATTTTTCCAGCAATGGAATATGGAGTTGCAAGCATTTTGCTGATTTTTTGGACATTTGACTTGACACATGGAAATGACACCACTTAGAGGAGCAACGATCAATAAAATTAATATACTGTATGACCCTTATAAACATTTTGCAAATGCGACTGTCCATCGTCATTTCTAAATGATAAAAATATCCGTTGTATTTTTTTTCCATCAGTAAGTAACATACATTTAATATTTAATATCAATAATTCTACTTCTTTTCCTTTCGCCCCGCATATTTTCGCCTTTAATGACACTATAAGCCATTAAGAAATCCATATTCAGTGTTTCTTTCACATGAATATTCCCTTTGAAGACGTCATAAGGACCATTCCTTCGTCTAACTCAATTTCCTTCCATATGTCCCCTCCCTATAACCTCTTCTCAAACAGCTGTTCGAAGCTTCAGCCGGCAACAACAGTTGAAACACCCACGAAAAGCTCCTGCGCTCCTTTTGGCCCTCATACAGGTTGCAGGCTCACCCAGAGAAGCACTCAAATAACGATGATGAGCTCCCACTCAGACTCTCACTCACTGCTCACCTTCTGAAACGAACGCGCTCTCTCTCTCTCTCTCTCTCTCGCTCACCCACGAGCAAAGGAATTTGCATGCAATTTTTGTGCTCTCCTCTCTCTCCACATTGGTGTGTTGTTGCTGCTCACACTGCTCTCTCTCTCCCACGCGTCTCGTGTGCTGCTTGTGCTTGTCGCTCGTATCGCTCAATTCGTCCATCGTACATAAGCTTTTCAGTGGCAAGCAGCGTTAGGCTAGCTATAGTGCCTCATTTTCCATGGCGGCGGCGTCAATCAAACGTTTGCCGCGCTTGCAGTCGGTTGTCGCAACGGTACTTCCCTCTGGATCTCGCATGTGCAAATAGTTGGCGGTCCGTCCGAATCGGCCACTACGTCATAATCGTAATCGAGACATCGTCATTGTATCGTTACCGTTTTACCGTTATAAGCAGCCATGTCGTGCTTCGTTATATTACCCGTTGCAGCGCGCAGAAAGCGATAAAGCAGGAAAAACCCAAAATTGCAAACTTGTTACGCATTTTATAAGGTTTTTCCGCAACACAAAAAAAAAAAGAAAAGAAAAAGAGAAAACCAAACAATAACAAAATACGTTTCGTGTTCGCGCGCGCGTGTGCTTGTATTTGTGTTTGTGTGTGTGTGTGTGTGTTGTGTTTACATGAGCCCGTGCCTGTGCCTGTGTGTGTGTGAGTGCAAAATCCAAAAGAAAAAGGAAAAAGTAAAAGCATAGAAACACACTAAAACGAAGAAAACAAAGAAAGAAAAAAACACACACCGTTTTTACACACAGTGCATTTGAAAGTAAGTCAAAGAGTGGTTTTCCCTGTATGTGTGTGTGTGTGTGTGCAAGCATATGTTGGAATTTTATGTTTTTACATAAATTTATGATGTTTTTATGTTAGAAATTGCATGCATTACTCTTAACAGTGTATGTTCCATGATTTCGAGTGGTTTTATACCACTAAAAGTGTGCAAAAAGTGCCGCAATATGTTAGCTTTACGCACACAAAGATAGACACAAACAAACACACAGCCAAGTGCAGACACAGATTGTTGTAGCTGAGACTGCGGCTAACTGTTGTCTGTGTATACATATGTGGGTGAAGTGGCAATAGTTGTTGTTACAGCGGGAACTGCGGCTTTAAGCAGCTGTTTATGAAATCAGAGATGGAAGAATCTGAAAAGCGATCCTTAAAAAATCCATTTATTATTATGCCAGGAAGTTTAGTATATTTAATACGAATTTTTTGCCACTGCCATCTATGTTTTACCTGCAGATATTTTCACCAATAAATTCGAGAACCTCTTCTAAATAGCTTCCCACAAATTCAATCAAAATCGTAGCTTCCTTTCACTTCTTTCGCTTGCAGTGTATCAAACCCTGCGGTTCGCTGAAATAGGCCTGCTTTTTCTCTTTGTTGCTGCCACAAAACGTAGCAAGTAGTCGCAGCAGCGGTAGCGGCAGCAGCAATAATAATGGCACAAACAAGTGCAGCCAGCAAAACCAACTCAACCAGTCAACCAGCGTGTGTTGCACTGCACTGCACTCCTCTCCCTATCTATCACACTCTGTTGCAGCCACTCTGCCTCTGCCTCTGCCTCTGACTTGGTCGTTGCATGGTCAGGGCTTCGCTTCTTGGACTGCTTTTGGCTTCTGGCCGCCTCTCTCTCTCTCTCCAGCTGCGCCTCTCGCGAAAAGCAAAGCAAAGCTCAGTCGCCACTTGTCGCGCCTTTAGAGTGTCTTTGCCCCACTGCCTCGTGCTTGGCCACCCCGCTAAGCTCTGCTCTCTTGGCGCTACCATCTGCTTCTTTCTGTCTTTTGGCATTTGGGTTTTCTCCACTGCCACCCGACCCCACCCTACCCTACCTCCCCCCAGTGGCTTACATTGAAAGCTTTTGCTAGTTTCGTTCGATTTCCATTTGCTTTTAATTGCATTTATGCATTTTTAATCGAGTTTGACTTTGGTAAGCTTTTTTTCACCCCCCGCGGCAACCATATGCTCCAACAACTACGACTCGTTTCGGCTCCAGAGGTGCTTTCTCTCTGATCTAAAGACAAGTTTCCGTCTCGTCTGCCATTTTCGCACAAAGTTTTCTAATTGGCCTTGACGACGTCTTAGGGCTTAGACCCAAGCCCAGAGCCAGCCTCTAGCTTTCAGCTGTGGCGAAAAGTGTAACGCGAATTTGTGTGCGTCGCAAATGGGATAATTTATTTGCAATTATAATTCAGTTCATTAAAGTTAATTGAATTAAGGTCTGGAAAAGTACATGTAAATATCCAACAGAGTAGTGCAAAAGGAAGGGTGTTGGAGGGAAACGAATGCCACTAAAGAAAATGTTTGGACATGTTTCGTTAGGGATTGTACAAATTTTAGACGTACCAAGAAATGTCTATTTATAGCAGATATTTAATAGGTTATACTGGTGTAGCAGAAATGGGTAAATTAGTCAGACTTAAGCCACAGAATGTGGCCCAAAAAGAAGCGACAAGAAACTCACTCAATATGGAAGCAGCTAAAAATGTAATTAAATTTTTTTTTCAATATATTCATTCAGACAATTTGAAAACGTAGGTAAATATCTGGGAAAAAGGAAACATAAAACTCTCAATATGGAACCAAAGTTTGCTTTTTTTTTGGTTCCTGAAAATGAACACCTACACTAGGGATTAAATATGCCAATAAAGTGCTTTAAATATATGTATAATATATGTACCTACATTTTGCACCTTTCTAGTTAAGCCCCATTCTCGAAAAACACACCGGAAATTTAAATTTTCAACGCAACACACATTTTTTGAACATTTTCGTACAACTTTCCGGGAACAGCTGTTGCATCCTAAACAAACATTTTGCGACGAATCTTGTACCCACAACGCAAACCCAAAGTTAACCCATTTGAAAGCTCAATCAAAGCCACACCACAGCCTCAAAATAAAAAGGAAACAACTTTCCAACTCAACATATGTTTATCTGCTAATCATGGAAATGCGATGCGGTGCTGCAAAAATAAACAACAAAAAATGTATTTAACTGGAAAACCTCATAGAAGAAGAGCCGGTGGGCACACAGGGGACAAAAGGAATTGGCAAAACTGCTTTTCTGGCGAAAACTCAATACACATATGATATGGGGGGAGGAGCTGGGTGGGCGGTGGTATCCACTCATTCACCATATGCCAAAAAGCCAAAACCAAAAATCGCACACAACAAAATGTTGCGAACCTAAGCAGGCGGCTTTTGTCATTTCATTGTCTGGCCACGCGCGCATCGCCAGCAACCAGGCAAGGTCCTTTCTGTAGAAAGGATGTGCGGGTGTACACACACACCCACACACACACTGGTATGATTCCCCACTGGTGTCCGTGGTACGCTGCTATGTATGCCAGTATGCCGAAAAAAAGAACAAGACATAACTTCGCTCGCTTTGAGTCTGGCCCTTACGCAGCCACCCACGCACACCCAGAGGCCCACTGGGAGTACCACCCATCCATCCATCCACGTGCCCTAACTTGTACCTTGTTGTGCCCGTTCCCCTCCCCACTAAAGTTGTCATTTAAACATTTGTTGCACTCTTCGTGTGGAACTCAACACGCGCTCGTGTGTCCCTCGTAGTTCCACCACACTATAGCGTCTCTCTTTTTGTACTCTCTCTTGCCATTGCTCTTGCTCTCTCTTTCCAACGTTCTATCTCTCTCTCTGTCTGGCCTCTCTGTTTACATTGCATTTGGCGTGCCTTGCTCTCGCGATGTAACCCGAAGCCGGTACGACGTCATCGCAAAGGTCAAAGCAAAAATGAGAAGCAGAACATTATAAAAAGTACTAGAAAGAAAGTAGAGGGGGTTCTGACCGAAGCTTCGGATACCCTGTAGTGGGCTAAGGTATATTTGAGCAAATCTTGAAAGTTAGACGATTTTTCTACTGCTTTTAGCAAAAATATAAGCTTAAAGACGTATCAGAACAGATGGACAATTAGACACTGCTGTTGAGGCTAAACCCAAGAATGTATTTTGGCTTACGAAACTGTGACCAAAATCGGAACATCCTTCTCCAAGGGTATGCAAAAAAAAAAAACCGACTGGTATCAAAGCTTTTTGCAAAGTCAGGGAGGTGAAGTGTGTTCTGCCCTCTCGATGTGGCACGGAGTGTAGTACGTTGCGGTGTGGTGTAGTGTGGTGTTAAAGTGTGGTAGAGTGTGGTGAAGTGTCGCATAACGGTGCTGGCGCGAGTGTGTGGGCGTCTGTGGGCATCAGTGGGCGTCAGTGGGTGGGTGTCCAACCATATGGTATGGTCAATGCACAGAGAAAATTGGCACTCCGCGAAGGGCACGACGCTTCATTTGGTTTTCAAATTGAAAAGGAAGCGTCGCGACATTGTCGGGGCGTCATGACTTCCCTATGCCCTTTGTCCGGCTTTGCCCCAAGGGGTCCTGCAGTTTGAAGATTTGTCGTCCTACGCTAATTGAGGCATTTGTCAACTTGCGTAAATGAGCAATCATTACTCAAGAGAAGGGACTCTGCTGCTGTTGCCTGGGGGCATTCGAAGATACAAAGTAATAAAGAAATATGCAACAATTTCTGATTGAAATTTTGTAATTAAAATGAATTTCCATTGTGGGGCAACTTAAATTTGATTGGGGAAACTAAATTGTTTTGAGGGGAATATTTTGTCATTTGTCTCACTGTCAAAAATGGCTGGGAGTGCTTTTTTAGGTATTTTACCTAATTTAATTTGAAATGAATTATTTATTTTGAATTATTGCGCCAAGAAATTAAATTAAGTTAAACAAAACGGAAAATTTTAGTGTTTTATGGGTTGGGATAGATATAATGAAATTTCGATAGTATTTGCCAGTAGTATTTGGGACTCTTTTCGATCAGTTGTAAAGTGTTTGTATTTAAATGGTTTCAAATTGGCATACTTTTAGATAGTTTAACTACTTGACAGCCTTATGTTCCGAGCTTATTTTCAGCTCAGAAGGCACCATAGTGATGGTCGAGGTTTGAGAGTCGTCTGCCACTTTTCTAACTTTATCTGTGAGCTTGAGTTGTTTCTTAGAGGAGCTGCCCTCTGATTTGAGTGGCTTCTTAAATTTTTTGGACTTTAGCTTAGGTTCGGCTTTTTCTGGCATATCCAGGGCTTGCATTTCACTCATCAGCGACTCAAAGGTCATCTGTACCAAATAATAACGACCTAAAAGCAAAGGTAATCTTAATTTTAGCACAGATTGTGCTATTTACTTACCATCCATTTTCTGTAAGAAACCCAAACGTTTGCCCATTTCTAGGGTCTGCTTCACGGGTTTCTTTATAGCTTCTTCTGGCAGATCGGTGTGCGTCGAGATGGTATTCACAATCTGCCGCAGTGTTGCCGGTAGCTTCAGAAGCTGCAGTGTGTGCACAATTATGGCACCATTAAAGTTCGGCATGATTTTTGGTGTTCTATTTCAACCGATTTTGTGTGACGTTTTGTCAAAGAAAATGATTCTTTGAATGAAAGTTTTAGGATTGATTGCTTGGTTAGCTGTTAAGTGATATTTATTGAGGATTTGCTTTGATTTGCTGGTTAATATTTGTAACTAAGAATGAAAGAATTCATATAAAATGAGATAAGTTTCTATGATGATTGATAATCTCAATAACTTTTCGTAAAATCCTAAAAAAAAAAGGAAATCGGAGCCACTGCCGAGTTGGTCCAAACGATCGCCGGTAACCAAAAACAATTAATATATTCAATAAGGAACCTATACAGTTCATCTGATGCACCTTTTGGTACATATAAAAAACCAAAAATAGATACGGTTCAAAAACAACTTCCACCAATTGAATCGTTTCAACTTTATCTCCAACGCCTTTTCAGGTGTATCAACCAATGAATCGCACAATTTCCTCAAATATTTCATCAGAAGCCAAACAAAAGGCTGGAGAACAAATTGGTTGGTAACAAGTATTTTCCTTTCGCTGACTTGCGTCAAGCGGTTACCGCCTTTACATAATGGAGAGAGAAAGAGAGGCGGAGAAGAGTGAGAGCGAGAGTTAGCCATATCTATCAATAATCCCCAACAAACAAACAAACAAACAAACGCAGAAGAAAAAAAACAGAGAGAGAGAGAGAGTAAACTTTATCCACATAACAGTTCAATATTGGCTTCTGATATTTACATCAGGAGACGACGCCTTTTGTGCTGACGTTTTTCCTGCTGCTAGTCCTAATCAGCGCTGTACAGTTAGTGGAAGAATCTAAAAATAGCTTTCATCGCCGCCTACACACGAGCCAACTCTTTGGTAATCGCACGACGACCGACCGTCTGCCATATGGAGGTTTAATTAAACTGGAAAAAAAACAAAGAGCACAGAAAGCATAGAGAGAGAGAGAGAGAGAGATGTTTGTATAGGAGCAAGACAAGGACAGAGTTTTCGGGCACATAGGCGAGGCATCAATCATGTTTATAGTGGCAATTAGAGCTTAAACAGCTGCCAAACTTGACTGACAAGTCAAGATGTCATTACTGTTGCATCAGCAGCAGCAGGAGAAGCAGCAGCTCTATGAAAATGATGCGTGGGGGCTACAAATTGGTGTGATGACAGAGCTGAACAAAAAGCTTTCATTGAGTTGCAATAACAATATTAATATAATGGCAACAAAAAACTTTGACAGTTGCAAAAGTGCACGAACAGAGGGAGGGGGTAGAGGGGTGATGCCTCTGCTTTGCACTCCTGGCCTGTCGCTGTTATTGACAGGCAACGGTAATTTAATCAAAAAGTGTCAGACAGAGTTTGCCATATGGCAGCCATCGAAGCGTTCACGTGACACGCCGCGGCACTCTAACGTCGCTCCAATACGCAATATGGGTGTAAAAAATGGCTAAGAAGGAAGTGACTGTAAGGGAAATGAAACAAATGATTGATACCCCTTTGATGGGTCAATCTATATAATGTTAAATACAGATTTAAAAATGTTTTACTGAAACGAGATACAATTTGAGACAACTGCAATCATCGTAGAGCCCTTATGGCTGTCTATAATATTTGTGCGCTATTTTTAGAAACACCTCAAAGAAATGGCCTTGCCTTGTGCCATTCATACCCTTCGTTTATGCAAAAATAGCGAGGACCCGTGGGCAGCGCAGTAAAGTGTGCTATGATTTTTGCTTTAGGGCCACAACAGACGCGACGCATCGGTGCTCTCTTCCGTTTGGATATCCTGGTGTGTGTGCGGGTTAAATTCTGTTTGATTTCCGTTTAGGATACAGCCTAAAAATAGAACACACCAAGAAGAATACATGAAGCTGGCAGTTCCACAGAAGTCAGAAAGACAGGCCCGGGCGAAACGAGAAACGTGGCCCAAAGCGAACATTTATTTAACATGTTTGATGTTTCCCTCGGTTACGGGGAGTCACACTGTAGAATTTGTGACTCCCAGACCAAAAAACTCCCGGACTACCCAGGAAATTCGATGTTGATTGTTTGGTTTCAACATTCAGTTCTGCAGATGGAAATAAAAATATAACAAAAAAAAACAAAAGGTAAATTCAGGAAAATTCTTTTGCTGAAAATGCCATTCAAAATGCAGTGTAAATGTTATTTTAACACTTGTCAGTGTGCCCAAACAAAACATGACTAGATTTTTTTATGCACAAACGAAAGGGAGGGAGGAAGCTTATAAGGAGCGACAGACAGAGAGAGACACAGAGAGTGAGAGAGAGAGAGAGCAAAGACATAAGACATTTTTAGAATGACAATCCTGTATGATAGACACGCTTCACGCTTATTATTTATGGCAAGGGAATAAAAGTTAAGCTGAGAAAAACGTTGATGCCGAGGTAATGGTCGATGCTTTTCGTTCCACAAGGCGTTGTTTTGGGCATGCGATGGTTTTTCTTTTTATGAGTCCCTCAGGTAAATAATAAATAGAGAACATATTAGAGGAGGAAAGCTGAAGTAATATGCAAAGTAATGGAGGCGTGATATAAATTGCAAAGGTGCTAAAGAAATAGAAAATCTATTAGAATATTGGTGGTAAGAAGCATTCATAAATCTAGATCTAGAGATAATGGATGCACCATGCAGTTTAGCTCTCTCTTCGGTAGTAGCTACAGGTAGTTACTGAAATTGTGTACATGATTTGATATTACACATTTATACAGAAAAAGATAATGCATAGATGGGAAATGTCTAAAAATATACTAAAATGATATTAACGTGTATATAGGCCATGGACGGGATATGATAAGTTTAACGTCACTCGGTGGATTAGTGAACAGATAAAGCGAGGGGCTTTGGGTGGACAGACGGATAGGCATGCATATAGCTAAATAGATTAGACACAGGGCTGAACAGAGACAGATATGCATCGATATGAGTATGGTTAGGTGATAGATTGATAGGTAATGATCCAAGTCAATGATGGAGTGATATTCGTAATTACTACGATTTATTTTCTTTAAGCCTTAGACGAGCTTTATTTTCTCTTTAATTTTAAATAAATATTGTAAATTTCTCGAGTTAAATGAAAGACCGAAAGTTGCTGTCCGTACTTTAATTTGCGGGCCTTTTTAAGTAAATAAATGCTCAAGTTTTTGTTACCAATTTACCAATTAAAATGTGTGTATTTCTTGAATTCTCGTGGCTGCACTTTTCAGTCCAGTTAAGTTTAAGTTTAATTTGATAATCAAATATGCTCAATTGAACAGACAAACGTCATGCCATTCGGGCAAGCAAATTCACACGACATACGATTTTATATCTTCTTTGACATTTATGCAGAGTCAACAGAGAATGGGAGACAGGGAGACAGTGGGCCCCAAAGGTATGCGTATATGTACCGTATGGGGACTACATAACTATGTGACTGTGTGATAAACGACTGCTTCACCATTTTGACAGTTATACTTGCTGTGTTTTATTCGAAAAGATGACCTGCCTTCTGTCCGCTGTCTGGCCATCTCTTTTCTGTGGCACTGTGTCTCCCATCTCTCCAGGGTCCTCTGTCTCCGGTCCACTGTCTCTACTGTGGCTCTTCCGTCTGTTGGTCATGTTTGGTGTGTGTATAAAGAGCATGCAAGTGACAAATTATATGCACAATGGGCAGCGCCAGTGCCCCACAGACCTTCATACCTTCATACCTCCATATCCCTGCAACCCCCTTCCACATGCCACAGAGTGCGACAGATGAGTTGTGTGGAACTGTCAGCATCAGTGCCAGGGCTTTGGCTGGGTTTTTCCCCAACCCCAGTAAAAGGTTTTATGTCCTGCAACCGAGACATTTCTGCCTTCTATAAAATATGAGTTGCATTCTGCCATAAACTTTGACCTGTTCTACCTTCCAGTATACTGTCACAGGGACTCCCTTTGTGCGATGCTGCGTTCCACCCCTTAACTGCAACCATCTCGTATATCACTAATTGCACTTTGTTTATTGTCTTTGTGTGTTTTGTGTGGCCCCCCCCAACTCCGTCTCTTGTGTACGGCCTTTGTAATTTAGTTTTATGTCAGGGACGTGCTTTATCAACCAATTGACAAATATGATACCCTTAGACTGTCAATTTTAATTGACTTGTTTTTTGGGAGAGGCCAATGAAGCGACATCTGCTACGGCAAGTGATTTAAATATGCTTGATTTGTGTAGAAATTACCAACATTTTTAATGGAATGCACCTGGAGGTCTAGAAGGGTTTGAAGGTTGGAGTAAAATGTTATCAAAGTTTCTTGTTAAAGGTCTTGGATTTTGTTCAAAGAGTTTCTCTGCATAAGAAACAAATTTTTAAGTAAAATATTCTCTCTCTCGCTCTCTCAATTTTTGTTAAATTTCTGCTTAAGACAGTTTTTGATTTTGTCCGATTTTTAAGCGACATTTCCTTGCTTCGAAAATGTTCTTTGCTTAAGACATTTTGACTCAGGCTTAAGCTTCTGTTCCTTGGTTTTACGAACAGATAACAGTAAAGCTCTTACACACTGGAAAAGCAAGCGATGCCTGAAAGTATGCTGCGAAGAAGCAGTAAAAAAGAAGGAATTATAAAATGTTTTTCCGACAGCAACAATTTGTGCTTAAGGCTCTCCTGCTGTGTGCCACCACTCCTTTTTCTTTCTTTTTTTTGGTCTTTGCGTAAGTCAATTAATTGAAGCCATTTCTTGTGCTTACTTTTTGGAGTGGGGCTCCATCAACAGCATCATCTACAGAGCACCACCTCCATTGACAGTACCCCAGTTCCGTAGCTTCAGTTGTTTACCCCCACCCTATCCACCCTATCCACCTTATTCATCTTCAGTTGTCTGTGCTCCTTCTTCTTCAGATACATTTCTCCTGGTCGACGGTTGTTGAACGTTTTTGCGTCATCTTCATGCGGGCAACTTTTACGCACTTGCGTCTTAATTACTCACACCGTTTGGGGGCGCCACACAGACTACTCAAGCTCTTTCCATTGTGGTGCCACACCAATTCCACGCTACCCACTCGTTGTCGCATTCTGCCACCGCCACCTGCCACCTGCCACTGTCACGCCACCCC